TCGAGTGCCTGCGGCACTCAGGCAAATTGCCGGTTTCCAGTAGTGCGTACTTTTGCCGCTACGTGAAATGTGCTCGTGAATTCCGAGTACAATCCTTTCTGCAGGAGAGCAGGTGTTACTTTGCACTATTCTTTAAAAAAAAGCTGTTGCTAAGCTGGATTTTTTTTTGGTTCAATCGTCACCTGCCCTGTGAAGGGCCCGGAAAAAAAAAGAAACGAGGTGCGTTTTGTTTGAGGATTATTGCTCTGTGGATATGTTTTTCATTTAAACAGATGGTCAAACTTTTTCTTTGGCGGAGAGGCCAAACAACCATTTAAAGTTTGGATTGCTGAATTAAATCAAGAAACGTCTTTGTGTTTGACACCGGTGAGGCGTTTTCTACGTGCATGACCTAAATTTTTTCAAGGACGCTGTTATCTGTGACCTGATCACAGTAGGATCGGAGGACCTTGTGTTCATATCCTCCACTCCTGTCGTCCTGCAGGCCCGCTCGAGGAGGCTCTTGCTGACATTGAATTTCAGAACAGTGGTATTCGCGTGCTATTTGTACACACGCGACACGGCGTGAACACTGGGCTGTGTGCCAACACATCTCACGCAGGCGTCTAACAGGTCTGGCCCGTCACTTGCGTGCGTTCGTGCTGCTGGGCTTCACCCGACGGTCAACGCTGACGACAGCGCTGTGCTTCAACCATATGTTTCTTTGTCTTTTCCATGCGTCCGAAGAGTGTCATGGTAGTAGGGGCCCCTCCTGTCCTGCTGACAGAGACAGAGTAACACTCTCCTGCTCAACCATATATTTTTGCTCTGCTTTTGCTCCTATCGTGGCCCTCCTGTCCTGCTGACAGAGAGAGTTACTCTGTTTTCCACACTAGCAGAGAGGTGTTGCAAGTGCAGAAGTGCTTGTCATTGTAGTCAGTTCTGGGCGACGCGTGATGATGCCAAGCTCAACACATCACGGAGGATTATATCTTGTTGTGGCCTTGCAGCTGCGTGTGTGCCGATCCGCCGCGAATCGAACTCGATTTCTTTGCAAGGGAATTCACAGTGCATCGAGGAGGTTAATTCATTTCATTTCTGAAGATGCGCAGTCTGAGATTTTTGGCCTACGTGTACCACGTGTATGTACATATGCCCATGCAATGTTCCACTGTTCTACGACTGTCTGGCAACTTGAGCACATCGATGACTCCCATCATCACAATTTTTTCTAGGCCAAGTTTTATTTAATGTTAAGGTTGTCTTTTATTCCTGATTGTGATCGGTTCTCATCTGACGAAATTGGGGGAATGGAAACAAATAAGCTTTCTTGCATGCGTTTTCCATCGAATCCTCATGCCATCACCAACGCACAATTACACAAGTAAAAAAGAATGGTTTGATCATCAGCTACCAGTAGTTTGAATGATCTCCACCAACCATGGACGGGCTGACCTCCATTGTTGCTTGGTCCACCGCAGAGGCAAATGGAGCCGACCAATAAAGTCCGCAGCGCTGCAGTGGAGGAGACCTTGACCGGCGTGGCCACAGAGTCAAGTCTCCGGCCGGCCACCACCCATCGGTGGAACAGAGCGCGAGGTATACAATATTGGCCGGTTGCTCTTTTTATGAAAGGCCGGCACAGCAAGCTGGCTCTATCCTAAAAATAATGCAATACTCATTTCTCAAGAAAAATTAAACAATTTCAAGTTTAACCAAATATATACAAAAATACTAATATTTGTCATACATATTAATTATCACTAAATTAATAATCAAATATACTTTCATAACAAACCTATTTGAAAATACAAATATGCATACTATTTTCAATAAATCTTGTCAAACTTGATACTGTTTGACTCCTTATGAGGAGATTTATAATTTTTTTTAAGACGGAGCGAGGGAGTATATCTGAGCTGGCAATGTTGCATGGGAAAAATATTGGTGAATGTATAGGCTGAGGTACATACATATTCCACTGTGCCCATCGGTTGATTCATATCTGCTTTTTAATCCAAAATCCCACAAACTACATCCACTGTACTTATAGGTTAGTTTGGGACTAGTCTATCAACCCGTGCTCTCGCACTGACTAGAATCTTATAAGAGCTATCAGTTTATTGTCTAATGTCTCTAGATGTTTAAAAGTACTTGCATTAGATTGTACTTCTCTTTGTTCATTTTCTAACACGATAGACACACCGATTGCACTCTTAAGTACAATGATGGCCTAAATGGTCACTTCAAACCTACACCACATTGCTTAAGATCAGTTTAGAGCTTGGCAAGAGATCTAGGATGGGTAGTTGTGCTAAACTCAAGAGAATATTAATGTTTAAGCCTTATAATGAATTTTTGCACCTAAGAAATCTCAAAGAATAGGAAGATATAGCCACGTGTAGCCTACAATATCGTCCCCACCTTGTCAAGACATTTGAATTTTATTGCCAAAGAGTTACTTATGCAGTAATGATTATACTATTAATAAAGATATGTGAAATGTTTTAGTTGAAGTGTATAAATTATGTAAGTAATAATTTATACATTATATGTCATGGTTATTAATAATTTTAAATAATCTGTTAGTGTCATTAGTGTAGGAAGTCTTTTACATGATTGCTAAAACATAACATATATATTTATGTATCATGTATGCACAAGTATATAATGTGCATGCACTTTAATCAAATTTTAATATATTGCCATTTGTTTTTTTTTTGCAATACAATATATCGATAAGTTTGATGTAGATTTAATAATGTCAGAAATGGTAATTTAGATGTAAAATTTAAGGGGTCGCATATGTTGTGTATCTAATAGCATAAGTGGTAATTTAAATAAACATTCATAGAGGTGGGTAATTATTTAGAAAATAGCAACATACTATGGTTATTATTATTATCGATGTTGATTATAGTCTACACATTTGGAGACTGAATGCTTCTAATTTTTGTGAGAATTTCTAGACGTGATATTTTTTCTAGTGGGGGTCCGTAAGGATTAACATGGAGGCTCCATCAGTGATGTATATTTACAATTTACATGATTTGTTTTTATTTCGTAGCGTGATACTAATTTGGTGGAAACCTAAGTTTTTGTTATATGTGTTATTATACCATACCTTTGTGTGCCATGATGAATCTATACTTTAAATTCAACTTTTAGTCTATATATATTGCAATTCTTTTTATCCACATGTTAAGTTGAATTTCTAGTGCTTATTTCATACTTTATTCACAATTTTCATGTTTTATTTAATTGAGAAAGATTATTTCATACTTTATTCACAATACTCTCTCGGTCCAATTAGTAATATATAGTAAGATAAGATATGGTAAAGCAACACACCTCATTAACCATAGTCGATGCCAATAAACAGGAAGATATCAAATATATTATCTTGGCACATTGTGTTTTCACTATTTACTTATATAATGAAAAATTCTAGTTTCAGTCCACTGATGTCATGTTATTTTCTATCAGGCCACCTAAAATAAGTGTGAAGATGATAAGTATGAAGCGGGTATGTGTTAGTAGTTTTCAGTTTCGCATGCGCACTAACTTTAGGTGTAAGGAAAATGGACCCTAGTCCCATTTACTTTGGATTTTGGTGTTTGATGACCAACACAACTAAATTGGACTAAAGAATTTGCAAGTGTTTGCTTTGTAGTTCAATAGGGTGCAAGACGTGACTTGGACGAAGGCGACGTGATGATCCCATGATCAACACCATAAGCAAGACCTTAGAAGCACAAGAGAAGACCCAAGATACCAAGCAAAGTCCAAGCACAAAGATAGGAACCAAGCCGGACGCAATATCGCGAAGAAACGAGTTCACAGAGGTGACCGGACGCTCCGATCAAGAGGCTCGGCAACAACAGCGTCAGCAGCAGCGACCGGACGCTGGACCGTACGCTGCACCGGACGCTCCAATCAAGGGGCTCGACAACAGCAGCGTTAGCAGCAGCGACCGGACGCTAGATGCCAGAGTCCGGTCAACATCAGTAAGGTTCTAGAGAGCCATTTTCGTGACCGAACGCGTCTGGTCAGTACTGACCGAACGCTGGTCAGAGTCCGATCAGTAGCAGAAAAGCGGGATTTTAACCCCAACGGCTACTTTCTCAGTAGGGTTTATAAATAGACCCCCCCCAACCGGCTATTTGAGATGTGTGGAGATGAGGAAACATATCAAGGGTGTTGATACACTATTTTAGTGATCTCCACTTGCATAGTGCTTGGTGATTTATTAGGTGATTAGCGTAGGTGCTTTGCGAAGTGCGTAGGTTGATTAGACCACCACTTATGTGCTTGCTCTAGGTTTAGGCCTAGTGTTTAGTGAGGTTTGCATACCTCTTACAACTCAGTGCTTGCGCGCACCATTGTTGTATATCGGAGGGGCTTGTAGTCTTGCGAGATCACACCAACTGCGGTTGTGGTGTGACCGCCACCGTGTACCAGAGGGAACAAGGCCCGCGGCGTTTTGGCCGGAAGCTTGATAGTGAAGACGGCGGGGAGCATCCGGGAGAGGCTTGCCGGAAGGCACGTCGGAGACCCACTTGCACATGGGGAAGGCCCGAGGCTATCCACGGAGTTACCCGACCGGGAGCTTGGCCCTTGTGAGGGATTCCTCGTGAGGGGCTCCAACGAGGACTAGGGGGAAGCTTACGTGCTTCTCGATACCTCGGTAAAAATATCGGAGTCGTCGATGGGAGTTTGCATATCTCTACCTTGGTCTTTAGCTTCCGCATTTACTTTGATTGTGTTACTCCTTTTGCGGTAGAGATAGCAACACACTAGCAAAACCGTAGTTGCACATTTAGATAGTTTATCTTTTGCATAGGTTTTGCTAAGGTTAGAAAAGGAGATCATAGTTTAGAGTTAGATTTTTAAGTTGCCTAATTCACCCCCCTCTTAGGCGTCACGGTCCCCTATAAATGGTATCATGTGTTCATCTTCCACCAATCGGTCAGCTCCCCAACTTGAAATTTCTGAAAATCGAAGGAACCACTGAAATCACCATGATTGGACCCGAATTTGTTGGCTCTGGGATGGGTAATCTCAGATCTACAGAGGCAGTAGCTTTCCCCAAGCTTGAAACATTGGTCATCAGCGATATGCCCAACTGGGAGGAGTGGTCCTTTGTTGCTGAAGAAAAACAAGAAGCAACAACAGCATTCACGGAAGGAGCAGAGGATAAGGCTGCTGCAAATCAAAAGTGGGATGCCCCACCTCCAAGGATACAGCTGCTGCCACGATTGAAGAGGTTGGACCTGGTCCGCTGCCCCAAGCTGAGGGCTCTCCCACGGCAGCTTGGACAGGAGGCCACCAGTTTGAAGGCGCTCCATTTAAGACAAGTGCACAGCCTTAAGGTGGTGGAGAACCTCGGTTTCCTCTCAGAGGTCCTTGTAATCTTAGTTTGCGAAGGCCTAGAGAGAGTTTCGAATCTTCCCCAAGTGAGAGAGCTGCGTGTACAGCTGTGTCCCAACTTGAGGTGTGTTGACAGGATGGACAACTTGCACCAGCTGTTTCTGACAGAGGATATGGAAGGTGCCTCATCACAGTGGCTGCCTGGACTCCAAGAGCAGCACCAACAGCTGCACGGAGAAGACATGGATGTCTACACCGAATGAGATGGCTATGAAGATATATGTAAGCTATGACCCTTGTCTGAATTTTCTAATTTGGTTAGATGTTTATCTTCTCTGCTTTTAATTATCCATGCCCGTTTTCAATTATTTATAGGTAATCTGGCATTGAGGGCGTAAGAGACGACTAGAGTCTAGAATTTGTCTCATTGATATCCATCAGGTGCCTTATTACGCTGGGCTGGATAGCACGGACGCGTGTCTCGTGTCAAGCTGATGCAAGGAGTTGAAGAATTTGGTGCTCTGCTTTTTTTTTTTAGATAATGGATAAACATCCGGCCTCTACATCCGTAGATGTACACAGCCCAAAATTACAGATAATGATAAAACCAAAAAGAAAGCCAAGGTCTTATAACATGACCAAGACGCTAACTTAAACAATAAAATTGTTTCCATCCGTTATTGGATATCTCTAGAGCAATAACTTCTAATTTCTTGCTTATTGTCGAGAGCGCGTCCTTAGCTTGCTCTACACGCCGCAGTGGGCCCGCGTAACCGACCAAGACGCCCCTGAAAATGACCTGCATAATAGAGTTAGATTTTATTTTATTAAAAACAACATCATTACGGCATCTCCAAATAGCCCAACACATAGCAGCCACTCCCACCCAAATCAAATTTCTAATCCTTTTATTTTGATTAGACAACCAGCTACCCAAACATGTGGTGATTGATCTAGGTTGAGTTAAACTAGTAGCAAAGAAGATAATCCTCCAAATCATTATGGCAATAGGGCAGTCCAGAATAAGTGTTGAATAGTTTCATTCCCATTGCAACAAACGCAATTCGACTCCTTTCCAATTTTTCCTAGACAGGTTATCTTTGGTAAGAATGACACCTCTTTGTAGGAACCAGAGGAAAATTTTTATTTTTAGAGGAACTTTTATCTTCCAAATCTTCCTATGCCGAAAAGATGTATTTGTATCTATAAGGTTGAGATACATGGATCTGACCGAGAATGAACCTGAAATGGTTAAACTCCATCTAAAATGATCGAGATCCATTTATTAGTTCGACATGAGAAATACTTGCTACTAGACTAAGCCATTCTCAGTAAGTTTATTACCCACCGAGCCCTCCTAAAAGAAATATTCAGAGGGCTAGTGCTCATTATCTTTGAGACTCAGTGGCGTGAGGATCTCTCACAATATTATATAAAGATGGATAACGAACTTTCGGAGGCCTAGCACCTACCCATACATCATCCCAAAATCTAGCCGTGGTTCCATCCTTAATATCGAAAGAACCTTTTGCCAGCACCTCATCCTTGATATGCATGAGGCCTCTCCAAAATGTGAATCATTTGGCTTTGCCGTGACTCAGGATAAACTTTTTGAATTTAGGTATTTATTCGTAATAGCGTTTGCCATATGCCTTCATGTTCATGAGATTCACTAGCCATTTTGCTAGTAGGCATTTATTTTGCGTTGTAAATTCAGAATACCTAGTCCACCTTGATCCTTGGGACGACAAATGATATCCCATTTGGCAAGGCGGTATTTATGTTTCTCTGAGGATCCTTGCGGAAAGAACCTCGACCTAAAATGATCGAGTTTTTTGATAACTCCTTTTGGGATCTCAAAGAAAGACATCATAAACATGGGTAGGCCGCTTAATACTGAATTAAGCAAAGACTAGACGCGTCCCCATAGGATAAGTATTTCGCTTTCCGGCATGAGAGCTTTTGTTCAAATCGCTCTTCAACTTTTCTCCATTCGAAATTAAGGAGTTGCCGGTGGTGCATAGGGATGCCTAGATATCTGAAGGGGTATTCCCACGCTTTACTGACCAAAGAGATCGGTGTAGAAGGATTCCATTTCTTTGGCTGCCCCAAAGCAAAAAATCTCACTCTTGTGGAAATTAATTTTGAGCCAGATAATTGTTCAAAGGCGCATAGTAAAAGTTTGAGATTTTTCGCTTGTTCTTGATCGTGGTCTAGAAACATGATGGTGTCATCTGCATATTGTAGGATTGATAAACCATCATCAACCGTGTGGGGATAATTCCACTTATCTCGCCCATCCGCTTTTGCTCTATTAATAAGAATAGCTAGCATATCAAATGACGATGTTAAATAAGATAGGTGACATAGGATCACCTGCTGCCGAGTCCCCTTCCGGTTTGGAAGTATGGGCCAATGTCATCATTAACTTTAATCCCCACACTTCCTCCGAGACCATATTCTGAACCCACCTACACCATTTAGGTGAGAAACCTTTCATCACGCAAAGTCTGCATGTAAGAACGACCACTTGACCTTGTCATATGCTTTTTCAAAGTCAATTTTGAAAATGACTCCGTTTCTTTTCTTAGAGTGTAATTCATGGATGGTTTCGTGGAGAATTACCACACCTTCCATAATATTCCTACCGCATAAAGGCCGATCGTGTTGGTTTCACCACTGTTTTGGCAACCGTATTCAGTCTATTTGTGCCCACTTTTGTGAATATCTTGAAACTCACATTGAGGACGCAAATTGGTCGATATTGCTGATTTTTTGTGGCATTTTGAATCTTTGGAATTAGAGTAATGACTCCAAAATTCAAACTGTAGAGATCGAGTGTCTCCAAATGTAGGTCCGCAAAGAGACAAAGAAGGTCCTCCTTGATAATTTCCCAAAAACCTGATAGAATTCCGCAGAAAAACCATCCGTCCTGGAGCTTTATTATGTTCCATCTGGAAGATTGCATCCCTCACCTCAGATTCGGTGAATGGACTAATTAAGATATCATTTTCTTCCGGGGACACTTGAGGAATATCTACGATATGATCCTCCTCAAGAGTGATAGCAGATTGTTCGGGGGACCCAAAGAGATTCTTATAATAGTTTGTAATATGGCTTTTGAGGCAATCATCACCAATTACAAGCACCTTGATCATTTTCAAGTTTGTAGATATGTCGCTTTCGGTGTTTCCCATTAGCCACTAGATGGAAGAAACGAGTGTTAGCATCACCTTCCAATAGTGTTTTCACCTTGGCACGCTCATACCACTTGAGTTCCTCCTCTCTCAAAGCAGATTAACTAGACGTTCTTTTAAATAATGTTTTAAATTAATTTCTTGATCGAGATAACGAGAAGTCTCGAGTTTCTTGTCAAGAATTTCTAAGCGCCCTAGTATAGTCTTCTTCTCTTTTTATAAGACCCGGCAAGTATGTTTAGCCCATCCCCTCGATCTCTCATGCGAGTCTCATGGATTTTGGATTGCCACCGCTCCGCAGAATTTGATCTGAACAAGGAGATTGCGGATATTTGCAACCATACCATAAAACCCTTCCTTAATAGCCACCCTCTCTCAAATTTGAAAGGGTGATTATTTAACTGGTGGGTCGAGTGGCGGTGCTAAGAACGAGAGGGGTATGGTCGAGATATTTCTATCTCTAGCCTCAAGCGTAGTGAGTGGGAATTGATTCTCCCATTCAAGGGTCACAAGGACTCTGTCTAACTTTTCAAAAGTCGGGTCATCTCCGTGTCCCCGCCCAAGTATATTGGCGGCTGACATGACAATCTCTTTAAGATCCGGAGAATCAATGACAACATTGAAAAGATTAGGCCACTTATAGTCAAAATCCCCTGAGCTCTTATCTTCTCGCTCTCGCATTATATTAAAATCCCCTCCTATTATATAAGGAAGAGATTCTTTAGAGCAAGTGTTAGCTAGTTCTACCAGGAAAGCATTCTTGTTTTGAATTTGGGCAGGTCCATATACTGTATATAGTACGAACTTGAAGTCATTAGATTTGCACCGTAGGGTGAATTTTACATAAAAATCTCCCTCATCTATTGCTCCAATATCAAAAAAATTCAGATCAACCCCTAAAAGAATGCCCCCTGATCTACCATGGGGGGCCATGGTGTGCCAAAGAAACTCATGTCCCAACAAAGATCTTTGAGGACATGATCTCAGGAAGGATTCACGTCCGGTCTCGGAAATTGCAATAAAATTGATTTGCTCTTCCTTAACTAGTTCCCTCAAGTACCTATGTTTAGCCAAGTCTGCAAGACCTCTGCTATTCCGAAAACTCCCTTCATTTTATAATGATTTTAGAAGGGTTTTGGCCTTTTAAGAAGTTTGACTTTGCCACGAATTTTGGCATTGTTATAAATCTTCTTTGTCTTGAGAGGTGGTGCATCAATGATGGAATCCAACTCAAAGAACCGCATATTCTCATTTAGATCTCCACAAGCGTGGCTGAGAATACCCTCAAGGTGGTCCTCTTTCTCAACATCACTCTCTATATCAGAGCACCTAGAGGAAGAACAACCTTTTTTTGTATTTTGACAAAAGGCTGACCTAGCTACCTCAATATTTTTTAAAACTGCAACAGTAGAGGATTCTAGGTTGATGCCTACCCTACCAAGGTTTGAAATAATTTTCGAATCTGGAAAGGTATTAAAAGAGTTACCTGAGAATTCGAGGTTCTTTTTCGCCGTCAAACGTTCCGCCTTATGGAGTGTATGAACATCCGCTAAAGTTGCGTTTCTGGTGCTCCGTCGTAGTTCTTTGATGGGAACCACCACAGGTGTGGGATTGGAGGCTCCCTCAAGAGATGGTGAGGTAGCACCCGCTCCTTCCAACAATGCTGCCTCCAAGACGGCCTGAGATGCACCGGCTGGTGCCACCATGCCTCCTCCCAAGGTCGTGAAAGGGGGGAGAGGGTGCAGCAGGCAGTGGCGTCTCCACAGCCTCTCTAGGCTGGGTGGAGAGAGTAGCAGTGGCGGTAGTCCCCGCTACCTCTCCCCAGGTAGCAGAGGCCGGCACCACCACTGTCTCTCCCCCGGTCGGCGTGGACAGGGGGGCGAGTGGCGAAGTAGGGCCCCCCTCCTGAACCTCCGCAGCGGTGGACTCCATCACCTGAGCCACCTCAACATTGGGTGACGACGAGTCAAGCCGGAGCGTCTCCTCCGTCGATGTGGCCGAGCCACCTCCCTGTGCAGCCATCAGGGCGGTGACCTCCAGTGGTGGGGGTGCCGGGCCACGCCCCTGGCAACAGGCGTACGACTGGTTCCTCCACCGCTGCAGGGACCGACGTCATGATACCGGTCTCCACCGCTGTAGAAGTAGAAGAGAGGGCCGCCTCCGATGAGCCCCCAACGAGGCCGCACCCTATATCAATAGGGGCAGCAAGAGACACCAGCTCCAGCGGTGGCGAGGGGGAGGGCAATGGCGGAGTAAAGCCCTCTCCTCCCTCACCCGAAGCGTCGACAAATGTACTAGCAATCTTTGTCGAAGGTAGTGGCACAACAATGAGAAGAAAAAAAGAGTATTATTAGAGTTAAAAACGCTAATTCTTCTTGTGTTGGTGGGGAGTAACTCTTCCTGGTAGTCCCTGTGTCGCACTCCAAAGCAACTTTAAGACTGATCTCATCCAAGAGTTGCTCACAGGCCAAGTCCAAAGCTTCATCTACTAGATTTGCCTGCTGCATAGGTGGGACATTTTGAGTATGTTGCGGTGCTTGTTGGGAAGACTTCCTATTATCCTGAGGGTTCTGCGGGTTAGGATCTTCCGCATCTTCCATTTCACGGTCTCCCTCCTCCAGATCTTTATCACTCAACAAGTCCTCATCAGACGGATCAGCACCGGTGTCGGCTTGTAAATCTTCCTCCGCCTTGAAAAATAGGCGGTAGATACTAGTGCCAACACAAACGTCCGCCATACCTGGTATCTTCTTGGGGTCAAAAACAGCCACTAGAATGCGGGCTTGACCTGTTGCCCTGAGATGAACCATGTCCACCTTCTGCGTAGCTCCAACAATAGTCCCCACTGCCCACAGCGATAGGAACGAACGCAGGCGCCTAGGGACACCGGTGACATTTAGCCATACCTGCTCCAACACCTTAATAGGCTGCACATCATCCACAAACTCAGCAAAAGATATAGTGCCTTCCTTGTTCTTTGTGTTGATGGTGTCTATTGCTATCATGCGATCCAGTTCTTCTTTGCTGGGGAAGGGGACAACATAAGAGTTAGCCCCCAGCTGTTGTACCTCCCAATCCCAACGGACCGGGATAATCCTAGCGAGCTCCGCCTGAAGTAACTGTGCCGATACTTTGCCGACTTTGACAGTGACGAGTGCTGCAATTGAAGACTGTGATGTCTCCACGATCTGATTATTTCTTGCACCCTGGATTTGGAAAAACCCCATCCCATCCTCAGCTGCACCACACAACGCGACTGAGGGTTTGGGGCCTCGCAACAAAGGGCATAAATTTGTGAAGTGCTCATCCGTGCAAATAGTGCACACCTTCTTCACTGTGTTTCGTTTCCTTTTCTTCCCTTCTTCTTGCTCGGCTTGTCCCTGTTCAACCACTGCAGCCTCTGTTGCAGAGCTATTTGGACCTTGATCTTTGTCAGCTTCACCTCCTGCGTGCCGAGGGTTTCGTCCACCCCGGGCAGAGTTGCCCCTACCGCCGGCCGGTGGAGGGCCAGCCGGTGGAGGGCCTCCACGGCCGGCAGAGGGTGCTGGACCCCCACGGCCAGAGTTGTGCATCGGACCCCCGCGACCACGTCCTCGATGTCCCTGGCCGTCGTCCCGTCCGCGTCCGTCGTCGATGATGGCGCGGCCGCGACCCCGGCGGCGATCGGCTCCGCCGCTGCCAGGAGCGCCCCGGCCTCCTCTCCTTCCCCCGTCTCCCCCGGCCATCAGCACCTCGAGGTATGACGGAGCGCAGGTTGCGGCGGCGTCGATGATCGTAGGGTTGACCACTCGACGTCTCGGGCCTCGGAGTGGTTGCGTGGAGGCTTCGGCTTGCGTGGGACCGCCCTTATGCGGTGCGACCAGAGGCCGTCTCGTAGCCGACCGAGTCGGGGCGACCTGAGCCGGTCGCGTCGGCTTGGGCCGAGTCCGGTTTTGGATGACGGTGGATCCAAGATTTGGAATTTGAAATTGAGGCCGATGGACACCCAGACGCCGGCGAGTTTGCCGCTGCAACGCCGGCGAGATGAAATCGCCGATGGAGGGTAGAGGCGTGATCCGTGGTGGTGGCAGTGGTCCTTTCCATGCCGTCATCAATGGTAACCGGACTCGCCTTGGGGATGGCTTCGGGATCGGTTGACATGCGGTGGCCGTGGCCGCAGGTGCGGGAGAAGGGCCAGTGATCGGCGGCGCCGGCGCCGCTGATGCCGTCCTTGGGAAGAACCGCGGCAGGGCGTCCGCATCTCCCAGCTCCTCACAATCGGACTCCGTTTGATCCCAGAACTTGCCGACGATCGCCGCTGGATGAATGGGATCTTTTGCTGTGATGCGCCGTAGGGCTTGTCGAGTTGAGGACGCCAGGGTGACCGGTGGAGGCATCCCGCCCGCCGACCTGCCGGCCGGCCACCGGCGAGGGGCAGGATGGGTTCCGCCGAGTTTGTATACTTCAAAAACCATTAATAGATGTGGTCATCTTCGCCCAACTATCATGGTACCAGCAAACCTGCTCCCGGATCTTGGTGCTCTGCTTATCGAGGAAGAAGAAGATGCGTTTTGGTGTCTCCTGATCAAGTGGCGCATGTATCTGAATAACCAGTGTTTTGTTTGCGTATGTATGTGAATAAGGTCGTGATATATACTGCTGGTGTTTTTTAGTCTTGTTTTTTCTTTTAAGTTGTGCCAAACATTACATACGTTGTTTGGAGCCCCGGGCTGTACTTTTGTTACTTTGCACTATTCTTTTTCTACGTGCATGACCTCATAATTTTCAAGGATGCTGTTATCTGTGACCTGATCACAGTAGGATCGGAGCCTCCTTGCCTTCATATCCTCCACTGCAGTCGTCCTGCAGGCCCGCTCGAGGAGGCTCCTGCTGACATTGAATTTCAGAACAGTTATATTACCGTCCGCCACTGCAGTCGTTTTGAATTCGCGTGCACACTGGGCTGTGTGCCAACACATGTCACGCAGGCGTCTAACAGGTCTGGCCCGTCACTTGCGTGCGTTCGTGCTGCTGGGCTTCACCCGACGGTCAACGCTGACGACAGCGCTGTGCTTCAACCATATGTTTCTTTGTCTTTTCCATGCGTCCGAAGAGTGTCATGGTAGTAGGGGGCTTGCCTTGCTCTGCTTTTGCTCCTATCGTGGCCCTCCTGTCCTGCTGACAGAGACAGAGTAATACTCTCCTGTGAGTGAGACGGTGAGCAGAGAGCAGAGCAGAGCAGAATGCAATTTCAGGCTTGGAAGCTCATCATCTTCTGGTACAAGAAAAAGAAAAGAATAAGAAAATCCAAAATCTTGGGCTACATAGGAGTAGATTATTAGGAAAGGGACGATAAATCAACCTGATGGTCAGTGGTCACAGCAACAGCAAACTCACATTTCCTTCCATGTCTTCCTTGGGATACAATGTGTTGTTCCTCCATGCACCATGCATGCATGTCCGAAAAAAGAACAGATAGATTTTTCTCATGAATCAATCGATCGATCTCTTGGGCTTGGACAAAGTGATCAAGAAACGGATTAACACCTCATCAAAAAAAAAAAACCCCGGATTGCCACGGTGAGCACATGATTCCACCAATCAATGATCAGCTCCCCGCCGACGGCACAACTTCTTGGTGCCAGCCCATGGGCCGTGGCTGCTACTCCTGCAGTCTATCAGCTCCTCTGCTCAAAAAAGCTCCTCTGCTAATTCTCAAAAAAAAAAAAAAGCTCCTCTGCTCTCAACTGTATCGGTGGTCGAGCTGAACCCAAAGAGGCAAGCAAGTGTGATGCGATTTCTTTTAAATTTAAAAGAGAAATCAGATATGGCAAAGGAAGAGAATAACTGTAAGAAGAGTTTAATAATAAATTATTGGAAGAAAATAGTTCGCAGTCTCACAAATGAGGTCACCTGTAAAGCCCCTGTTTGGATGGACTATGCTAATTTTGGATAATTTTTAGCTTGCTAATAATTAGACTTTGGTAGCCCAACATGTTGTTATCCTAGTACAATTTTTTTTTTAAAAAAAATCGTGCAATTAGAAATCCTAAAAATTCAGTCGCCAGTATTAGTTTGACTATTGAAAACCTAATGTGGCACAGGTGCATTTGTTCTCGAGCCAGGCGTACATGGTTTTCCTTGTTTTTTTGTTAGAGTTGGGGCCAATTTTGGGGTGTGTCTGGATCTGGTTTGGGCCGAATTACTGGGGACTATCCGAACGTACTTTTCTTCCGAGAAAACGCCCATCAGCGTGATGCTAACACGTGTGGAGCAATCACAATAGCGTCACGGTTCACGGGTTATTAACCCGCTCCACACCTTCACCAATCACGCCAACTAGCAGGCCAGACACTACCGGAGACGAGTGTTTTGCCGAGTGCCAAGTGGTTTGCCGAGTGTTTTTTTTTATAATCGGCAAACACGTATTTGTCGAGTGTTTTTTTTGACACTCGGCAAAGAAGCTCTTTGCCGAGTGTTGTTTTTGACACTCGGCAAAGCAGCTCTTTGCCGAGTGTTTTTTTCTGACACTCGGCAAAGCAGCTCTTTGCCGAGTGTTTTTTTTTACACTCGGCAAAGAAAATTTCAAAGCATATTTTGAAGCAGTAAATTAATTCAAATGAAAAAGTTTTCAACTACAAAGTTGTACAACTCATCAAGATGTACAATGTTTATTTTGGTCTTTTCTTCATATGACAAAGTGAAAGTAAATTTGTTCACAAATCTAACATATCTCTCTTGTAGTTTATGAAACTACAAGAGAGATATATAAGATTTGTGAACATTGTTAGAACGACCATGATGGATGAACAGATGATCAAACAACCAAAATAAACTTTGTAGATCTCAAAAAGTTATGAAACATTGTAGTTGGAAACTTTTTTATTTGAAAACATCTTGTCATGCAAAACTGCGTTTGAATTTCCAAATTTTAAAATTCAAATTTTGTAAACGACCTCGAATGGAAAAACTTTCTAAACTAAAAGTGTAGATCTCAAAAAGTTATGAAACATTGTAGTTGGAAACTTTTTGATTTGAAAAAATCTTGTCATGCAAAACTGCGTTTGAAGGTCCAAATTTTAAAATTCAAATTTTGTAAACGACCTCGAGTGGAAAAACTTTCTAAACTAAAAGTGTAGATCTCGAAAAGTTATGAAACATTGTAGTTGGAAACTTTTTGATTTGAAAAAATCTTGTCATGCAAAACTGCGTTTGAATTTCCAAATTTTAAAATTCAAATTTTGTAAACGACCTCGAATGGAAAAACTTTGTAAACTAAAAGTGTAGATCTCGAAAAGTTATGAAACATTGTAGTTGGCAACTTTTTGATTTGAAAACATCTTCTCATGCAAAACTGCGTTTGAATTTCCAAATTTTAAAATTCAAATTTTGTAAATGACCTCGAATGGAAAAACTTTCTAAACTAAAAGTGTAGATCTCGAAAAGTTATGAAACTTTGTAGTTTACAATTTTTTTATTTGAATTCGTTTAGGACCTCAAACAAACAATTTACACTCAGTTTAGTATAATATATTGGGAACTAAAACGGAATCCAGACACAAGTGACAGTGTGGTATAGTGGTAGAGGAGGTTAATGCGTAGCGGGAGGTCTCGGGTTCGAATCCCGTCGGCCGCGTAGTCGTGAAATTTACGCGAAAAAGCCGGAGATGGGTGGGCGCTGACCGGTGGGGGCCTCCACCAATTAATAAAAAAATCCATTTTTTCGGTAAAAATTCTCATTTTTTCGAGTTTTTTTCGGTTCCAACTTCTTTGCCGAGTGCCCGACAAAAGACACTCGACAAAGACGTCTTTGCCGAGTCATTTTTTGCCGAGTGTGATTCGCCGAGTGTTACACTCGGCGAACAATTCGCCGAGTGTTTTCTGTCTTTTGCCGAGTGTTTGGGGCACTCGGCAAACTCAAGGAGTCCGGTAGTGTCGGAGATTTCTTTCTGCCGATATAAAACACATTATCTTAGCCACATCACGAAAACGTTTATACAGTAAAGTTTGTGAGCATGTGACGCCGTACTCTCCGTGACTGTGTTAATTTCACGAACTTCGCTTTTTTTATTTTTGATTAAATATCACTTTAAGTTCGCTTTTAAAATTAAATATCACTTTAACGTCATTTAATTCTCATAGTATTGTTATCTTATCGTGTGATCCATATGTTTTTAATACAAAAGTTAATGCTCGTGCGTTGCAAGGGAAAAAAATAAAGTCAAGACAATTGAAGGTTGTACGTGTATTTTACCATGACAAAAAAAATGACATTCTGGAATTCGAGATAGCAATACTGTTGGACCATATTCTCTCCCCAAAAAAATTCAAACCAGACATCACGACTCTTATGTTGCTCTAAGCCAGTGCAATTGTGATATCTGATATTCCGAACTCAGTAACACATATGCCTTCTATCTTGATTTGCTCAAGTGAAGCCTCTTGGGACAAATATACAAAATATCAAAAACTCCAAACTCGAGAATTCCTATAGCTACTGTTTCTCAGTAGTGGCTAGGGGCGCGGTGGAAGCAATTCCACAACGGGCATGTGTGTGTGACATTACTAGTGTCCTGACCTCCGGTGCTTGTCCAAAGAACCAAAGATGATTCTCGCAAATTTCACCCTATGTCGCAATGTTCTATGGTTCATCAAAACCGCATGGGGCTAAGCAAATCTGGAAAAGCGATGTCCTCCCATGAGTCCAAATTTTCTTTTAGCTGGTGATGCATGGACGTTGTTGGACTGCTGCTAGGAGACATTGTCATGGGTTGCAGAGCTCTGATGAGTGCATCATCTGTGACCAGGCGTCGGAAACTATGGATCACCTTCTGCTGGGTAGTGATTATAGTAGAGAAATTTGGGCAACAATCATAAGGAAGCAAACATTGTATCTTCCCTTCCCTGTAAGCGTAAAAAACGAACATGAAATGTAAACTTTGCGTGACACATACTGAAGATAGACAAATTCAGATCAGTTGTAGACAAAGCAAGTATACTGACCATCATTTATATGATGTGTATTGTGGTGCTTGTGCAGCCATGATAGCAACAGATAGGGTATAGTGGAAAATTTGCTCAGGTACCAGTCCACACATGCTCCTCGGCTCCTGAGATAGCCATCAAAGTGCACAGACCCTTCTAGGATGGTCTTGTCAAGTTTGGGGGATGGTCTCCTCCAGCACCAAATATGCTGTCGTGTTCATATCAGCTTAACCCTGCGTTTTACGACAACTTAATTGAGAATTGGCACCAGGCTTAAGCTAAACTATCGAATGACAAAGAATCCAATCTAAAATGTACCCCTAGCACTCACCAATAAATAATCCACCAAGAAGCAATTTACTATCTAGAATGACAAGGTTCAAAAATAAAAACATGCCCTGAAACTGCAGTA